GATGGTAAAAGTTTCAGGGTTTTTTCAAAAGTCTTAACCTTTAATTCCCAACTGTCGACCCCCCAAAAAAAAAAAAGCGAAATGCTTAAGCTTCCTGCTTTTAAATGGCTAATGTGGGCTGTTCCACGGAGTCTGGAATTCAGTTTTAGAACAAGACTGGAACTTTAATCTTTTTTTCAACCACCATCCATAATTATACAAACCAATCGTTTTGAGGAGAACAAGTTTTTTTTCCCCTGCAAACCCAGCAAGTGAAACGAATGGATAATGGCAATGTTTACCTCTCGAAACCCTAACTTTCGATACCTGGATGAATAAAGAAAATCGCAAATGGGTGTGTGTTGGTCTTGAACTAGACTAGGGATGTAAAACGAACCCAGCTCACGGGCTGGCTCGTGAGCCAACCCATATTTTTTCGAGTCGGGCTCAAGTATTTGGAGCCCATAAAAACGGGCCCGGGGAGCCAGTCCATCACGAGCCAGACTCGTGGCGACTCAGCCCGTCACGATCTGAATTGGCTCGCGGATCAGAAAAAATATTTATTTTTTTAAAATTTTAATGTTTTTATATATACAAATTATATTTTATTACATATTTTGTTTATTTTGTTTAAAATTTTAATTTTTATTATATTTTAGATTTTTTAAAAATATTTTAAATATTAAAATTATTTTTAAATATTTTTTAGTATTAAAATTTTATTTTTAAAATTTATATATTTGACTCACGGGTCGGCTCGTTTGGTTCGCGAGTTAAGACGATCTGGGTTGGGCTGACATATTTTTGGCTCGCTAAAAAACGGATTAGGTTAGACTGTTGAAAATTTTCTAGATCGGAACGATCCGGACTGGGCCGAACCGGGCCAACCCGTTTTACACCCCTAAACTAGACCAGTTAACGCAAACCCTACAAAAATATATTCAGAAATTCAACGAGAAAAGCCACAAGGCAGAAAGATAGAAAATGTATTTTCTCGAGAAACAAGCAGAAACCAAAACGAGAACGTGAACCCGTCGGACGGAATAACCCTCTGTTCCCTTTCTGAGCCTCTCTGGATACTCTCTTGTCGTTCTGCCACATGCAAACCATCTAACTCAGTCCGAAGGTTTCTATAAAAAAACACTTGTTGCCGGAATACAAAAGTAATAATAAAAGAAATGGAAAGATAAGGGCAAGAGGGTACCAGGAATTGGATAAGAAGATGCTACAATTTTTTTTTGCATTTTTCTGTGGTTATGGTCCAAATGCATGAATAAGGTAAGGAAGCATCCACTTGCATCAATCGTATCTCTGTGTTATGACAGACTTCATCTACTTTTCTGTTGCGTTGCAGCAACGGTGACATGTCTGAACTAGTTTCGATTGCATCCTCTTTTGCTTTGCCCCAAATCGCAATGTAGAACCCCACGCTCATATGATCCCTCCAATGGCACTGCAATTTCACATGTTCATGCCATGGAATCGACATTCAACACCTATACGCCTATTACGATACAGAGATTCCAACATCGAAGAACTCTTGGATCAAGGACCAGACAGTTCTTCAGATCCGGTTCTACTAAAACAATTTGGAACTTTCGGAAATAGGGAAACCGATTTATATTCATTTTCTACTCAATCCACGTGAATGTTTTCAAGAACCTGTATGGCAACTTTGTGTTGCCTGTACCATTTTCTGAAATGTAGACAAATGTGAAGGAATCCATCTTGGGTATATCTGAATCTGTTGGAGACAGTAAGATCGTGAATTTTCAGGTTGTGTATGTTTGTGGTTGTCGATACTTTACCTCCCGAGATGAAGTATACCTCCGAGGAATATAGCGCCCATGACAACGGCAACGGCAATGGCAATGGACAATGGTTTGAACATCGATATGTAGACTGGACCTTTCAGATGTACACCCCATGTGTGAATAAGGGTGCCCAACGATGAACCAAAGAATCCCTGAGAAGAGAGTAGATTTCGAGAGCTCAAGGTATAGTACGTAATTTAAACAGTCCAGAAGCAAATAATCAGAATTTATTCTCACTGTGTATATTTCTGAAGTGAGCGCCACACGAGATTTAAGCTGCCAAGAAGACAAGTCTCTTTCGGCTAGTAGACATACCGGAGCTGATATAAGTGTTGCACATAAGTTATAGAAGAAGACCACAGTAACTTCTGCTGGGTATATCTTCATGACCCGAGTCTACGAATTGTATAACGATGTAAAATTTAGCAAGATTTAGTTTGTTCAGAAAACCCGAAAGTGTTTCTCTCGAACTATTCAAATTTCTGTACCTGAACGATGTACCAGACTGAATAAAGCAGGTACTGTGAAGCAATCAAAAGCCCTCCAATTATCCAATTTGACTCAGATGACTTCAAATGCCGGAGATATGAGATGGAAGCTGTGGAATATGCAGCCCAAAAAACTTCCGGGCCTTTGTAGAGAACCACAACCAGAGCACCTGATATAGATACCACGGTACCGATTATCTTCGCCTGAGGAGCAGAGCTACTTAATATCACTTTCTCCATCCTTCACAAGTCAGATAAGGAAGAAGTGGAAGCAGTTAGATGTACATGCCGGATCATCAAAACGATAATGATAACATTGCTCATATCAACTCAACTTTCAACGGAAAAGAATAAAAGCTTTGACAAACTTCCTTTGCATCTGTTGGTATGACTCCTAAATTACTTCTCCCTAACCACTAGGAGGGAATAATTAATATGGCATCAAAGGCATATAAGGGCCATTCTACAAGAAGAAAAGACATGAAGTTCGAATAGATCGAGTGGAATCAATGGGTCTCCTATTTTGTGGACTATTTTCTTACAAGAACATAAAAAAAAATAGAGAGATGGAACCTGAAGATGATAGCGAGAGTGAAGGTGAAAGCTGGCGTCAGGTTGCTGATTGCTGAGGCAAGAGTCGGAGAGCTATATTCTAAACCTTTGTAACCGGCTATCTGAGACATAAAACTGTTTACCCCCAAGTTAACAAGTCCAAGAAAAGAAATGGAGAAACAATCACCGACCTAGAAGAGAGTAGAATACCCAATAAGCCCGAGAAGGAAAATTTTGAAGATGGGAGGTGAATTGGGCAAAGTAAATCTTCTTGAGCTGCTCACAAAAATCAAGTTCCAAAACAGAAACAGATGTCAGAGACTGAATAAGTACGTGACCAATCAAATTTTACAGCATGAAGATTGAAGAGTAGCTGAAAACAGTACCTCCTAAAGATCAATGAAAGTAGAAGCAGAACAAGCGTTGCAACGACATAAGTGTAGAAGACAAAGACATAGAAGCTCATACCCATCAAGCTCGCAGCTTTGAAAAGAGTGGTCGACCCGACAGTTGCGCACTCCACAGCAACCATAGCGATGAACGGTAGAACATCCCTGTGACAATAACTTCTCCATGCCATTGTCTCCTCCCTCTTTCTCGCCAATGATCCTGATACGAGTTGTAATAGAAAGATAGAAGTAAATAGAATATTGCCGATTGTATTTCCGAAAAACCCAAGAGAGAAATACAAATATTCAAGAGAGGCACACCACTCTCATTCCCACCCAGCAACTTAGAATAAAAATCTCGATGCCTTCCCCAGCTAAACACACGTTTATTTAATACTAGCCAGCTTCCCAACAAGCTGAGGTGGCATGCCTAAATACCACCTGTGCGTAACAACCTCCCATCCAAATACCCTGCTCCCCTAACAGAAATATTCCTCAGTGATTACTGTTGTCCTGCAGGTGTTGCCACGTCAGACTCCTCTCCCTTAGCTTTCTTTCCTCCCTTCTCGTACTCCATCCCTTCCATCCACTTAGCGGTTTCCCTCTTGCTCCGGAAGGGTTTATCAGATCCTCTGCCCAAAACATAAGATGCAATCGTGGTGGTCAACACCACCACTACTGCAATAAAGAGGGAGACAATTTCTTATCTTATTTTATTACAACTTGCTTAGGCCTCTATAGCTTCAAAAGGAATAAAGTATTCAAAAGGCAATGTGACAAATCAGTGGTTTTCATTCTTTAAATATAAACAGTGAAGTTCAGAGCTACCTTGCACCAAAAGATATAAATATGTGATAACATGAAGCACATTCAGATATTTGGTGGCCCCACTACGGACAACCATTCACATGGGCCACGGAAGCTCTAAAGATTTACAAAAGATGATTCACTATACCATCAGCAATTCCGCCTCTTCTTTCTCTTCAAGAAGGGCATAGCACATAAACCTCCAACCGAAGAAGTCCCCACTTCAACTGTATCGTTCTCCGCGGGCAGATCTTCACTGGGACGTTTAACTTTCTTTTTGTATGTCTGATCCTCTGCCAAACTCTGAAGCCTGTCACTGTCTGATTCATCCACGGTGTCCAAACCTCCAGGGATGTCATCTCCGGAAAATTCAGTTGGTGCATCAGTAATTTTTTTGTCCTCAGATCTTTCGTCTTCTTCAACACAGAACCCACCACCCGCCATGAGATAATCATCGGAAGGTTTATTCTCTATGTGAAGATCCTCGTTGAGGCTCATAGACGGTTCGCCAATCTCAGCTTCATCTGTGCAGAATCCACCTCCCATTTGGATATAGTCTTCAGAAGCACAATCATTAGTCGATGTAATAGCTTTTTCGTTCTGTTTCCTTCCACCATATTCAGCCGAAGTTTTTCCAAATCTATCCTCGGTTATGTGGAATTCTTCTTCCGAGCTTTCACTTGGGGATTCTTTACCGATCTGTAACTCGGCCATTGCATCATCTTCATTCACATTGTACTTCACAGGATTCAGAATGCGTGATGACTATAGATGACAGATTAAAAAAATTAGGAACGTAGAACCTACATATAAGCAAAACAAGTTACGAAATGAGAAGTCTTTAGCTAAACAAAAAGCTTACCCTTCGCACTTTTTGAAGAGATCCTGGCTCAATGTCATGATGTTCCAACAAATCATAACCTGTATCTTCGTTATCGGAACTGCTTTCTTTTAGCTGAGGGGCAATGTCCTTCCGGCCCCTTCCTCTTCCTCTTTTCTGACCACTACCACTACCTCTGCCCCTACCCCTCCTGTTCACCTCTAAACTCCTAGTCAGATTTCGTCTTTCCTGCTTGGTGCTTTGCTTCCTCTTTCTGGCTGATTTTTCCACAGTACTTCTCTGGTTTTCCTCCCCCTTCTCGGCTTTAATTGAATCTTTGTCTGATGTGTTATCTCCTCTTTCAACAGAAGCAACTCCTTCATTTTTTCCACTGCTTGCACCGTCATGTAGGATATCGTCAGTCGTTTCCGACAACATGGTTCCTGTAATGCCTTTGACAGCCTTTTTAATTCTTTTACTACGGATTTTTGCAAATCTTTCACTAAAGGAGTAGAATGCTTCCATCCGGAGTTGCGTCTTCAAGGACAAAAAAAATTAAAAAATGTCAGTTTGTCTTGTATATTTTATTAATCATTAATCATATTCGTAGATAAATTTGAGAATATGTTCATCTACCTCACGCTTTTCATACTCCTTCAGGACAGGTAAGAGCAGATCATCTGTCTTATTACTGTTCCAACCAAACTTTTCCCAGCACAACCTTCAACAAAAAAAATGAGTAGCAAATCAGAAATGCAGCAATATATCATCATTTTTGTCACGAGTCTTCGGCAGCTTTAGCAGTAAATGAAATTAATTGGCCATGACATGCAACTTTTTCTTGTGTTCCTATTTCAGCTTAATTGGAGTTTGGAGACCCTAATAAAATCCAAGGGAACAGGCTTTAAACGTCACACTTATTTGACAAAGCGTTTTGGAGGCAACAGAAAGCACAAGAACAACAGATGACACATCAGGTACTAGTTCTCATACCTTGCACCGCAAAAAACAATAATTGACATTGACATATTCAATTCTGAATTTGGACAATGTGAAAAAGCTAAACTTTAAGGAAGATCTTACTTCTGAAGAACTGAAAGATCAGGCTTTCCCCATGAGAAAGGATCAGTTGACTGGTCCACTTGTGGATCCACGTATGCAGAAATAACGGCATCACTAGGGAACGTAGAAGGAATATGCCAGTTCTTGCTCACCTTTCTCTGCATTTTGCATAGCATCTCAAATTAATGGAACTGTTTAACTATTGTCCTCAAAGATTGGGCATCATTTCACATCAAAATCAGGAAAAGTAGCAATACATGCTTATCCATGAAGATTTGCTTTATTTCTTGTGTGTCCTCTGTTGAACCTCCTTCTACACTGCCTTTATCATCAACAGGAACAGATCCACGCTTCTTTATACTAGAACCTGCTTTTGCATCAGTTTTTCCCAGTATAGTTGGATCAGGTGATTCCACCCATTCGCGGAATTTCTGAAGGCCATCCTCCTCAGGGAATGCATTCAAAACTTCAATAGCATTGACAATACCAATGCCACTGCACACCGAATAAATTATAACAGTGAGTACATAAGATAACGATCGTTTGAGCATGTACACTTGAAAATTCTGCTGACCTGACTCCTTCGGTATAATCACTTCCTAGAAGTAATGCCATACGTATTAGTTTTTCTCTGGTCATGCCAAGCTCCTTCTCAACGTCCTGACAAACAGAACCCAAAAAGAGGCAGCTGAGTCAACCAAGACAATAATATTACTTCACTTGAGAAACAAAATGCCACAATACAATTACAGATGTTAATGAGAACAGATTCGGAAGAAGAAATATATGAATTTAATGAAGGAAAAAGCGATATTCCAGAGGAAAAACCAGGAAAAGGTAAGAAGATATAAAAAAAATTAAGATCGGACTGATATACTTCAGAAGCTAAGTGGAGATTAGAGAAGACAACAAGTACATGACAGCAGATTATGAGTTTTCTTAAACCCTAAAGTAGGAAACAGAGTTTGTGGAGGGATTTTCTCACCTTCATAAAGTATGTCTCCACATATTTTCGATCGTCAAATATATTTTTGTAAACATTTCTTGCTCCAAACAAGAAAACATCAGAATCATCTGTGACAATGCCATCAACCAGGTTCAACTGTTCCATGAACGCACATTGAGCTTCTGCTTCCATGGGAGCTATAATGTATGGTAGGCCAAATATTTGGAGTAGTTCCTATGAGAAAACAAACCCGATGAAATGGGGTAAGCAAACAGAATGTCCAAGAAAAAAACTGAGTAAAACTTGAGGAATGATTCTGTAGAAAGACTTATGGTTCATGTATATTAAAGAAAATAGCAGGTAACTCGCACCTGACATTCTACAAACATCTCACTGCTAACAGATTCAGCATTTCGTTCAAGCCTCCTCTGTTCATTACCTAAGCTTATAAATTCTTCATTGAGAATTCGGATTTCCTCCTCCAAATTTGCTTCTGAAGATTTGGCCGGAGTGCCTTCCTCATCTAAATTTTCAGAGGTGTTCTTTTCCTCCCTACTTTCATCCTTTGGTTCTGTGTCATAAGACAATATCTCTATATGAGATCTGAGGACAGAGCCAGAAGAATCTCTTGACTCGGCAAGTGAACCATGGAATTCATGCGGAGCATCATTTCTCTTATTCTCCATCACGCTTGAAAATTCATTGTCGCCATGAACTTTCTTCACGCTGGCATGACTTGAAGCCTCAGCAAGAGAACAAAATTTCTTCTCGTCAGCTATAAACATATCAGATGATTTGTCAAATACTCCACCAAAACTATGAGAACTCTTCTCAGTAAACTGCTTGATCATGGTGGGCTGCTCACCGCTATCGCTAGCAACATTTGATGCTTTCTCGAAGGAGATGGCTGACTTTGCCTTCAATACTTCATTGTCCACATAATGTTCAACGTTAGTGAAACCGGAAGAAAGGTGTGCATCAAAATGACTAGTTATTCCCCTCTGACCATCTATGTTTTCATCTATAGCACCATCCAACTGGTCATTCAGAGGAATAGCTTTTGCGGTTGTCAATTTGTCCGCATTTCCTTCTCCCTCAACTCCATCTACATCTAAAGTTTCCAAAGAATATAGTGTATGTTGAGTTGGCTTTTCAAAATTTTGATTTACCCCTACCTTATGATTTTTCCCAAGAAGGATAGTGCCAGATTCCTTTTGCGCGTCAAACTTAGATGACAAAGAATTGGATGTATTATTATCTAAGTCGAGAAGGCTTCTTTTGATAGCCTCCTGCAAATCAGCTTCCTCTTCCAAATAGCTTTTTGATAATTGTTTTACTGAAATATCCCCGGGCGAGTTCTTGGGATCCGCACAAGTAGTTTCTTCCCTTTCTGCAGCACCCATCTCACTAGTGTTCACTACCTGCAGAATATGCTGATTGCTGTGGTCACAATCAGCCCTAGGAACACTAGCCTTCTGCTCAACAGGCATTTCTTCCCAATCACTGTCAGAAGAATCAGGCAGAAATTCTTCTTTATTATTGTTTTTAGTAGAATTGATAGTCACTGGTCCTCCTGCTGCCAACTGAAGAAATATATCATCGTCGTCATCATCGAGACCCTTTCTGCCACCATCATCTTCAAATGAGATCTCTAACGGAGATGTGTTTTGGGGCATGGAATCTTCATCTTGACTGTTTAAGTTTGCAGATCCGACTTTCTCACTCAGTAAAGATTCAAGAAACTGGTCCTCGGTAGGAAAATTTTCCCAGGCACTGTATATCTCATCATTGTTAGAAATAGAATTAGAACTCGCTTTCTCCTTTTCTTTCATCAAATCCAAGTTCCTTTGAATATCACGAGTCATCCGGATTCCCATATGTCGGTTCCTTATTCTAAAGCGCCCCCTTTCATCCAAATATACTTCAATATCTTCATCATGATTCCTAGGTCCATCCATATCCCCATCAGTGGCAGCATTGGATTTATTCAGAGAAGAACTCCTCTCAACAGAGACTGACACAGTTTGCTTGGGCGTATTTTGCTGATTTTCACCATTTCCTCCCACTCTAGCAGATGCAAGTACTCTAAAACAATGACAAATTTTCAGTTATAATATTAAAATGACAAATCCCCTTCTTTTATAGAATTGAAAATGCAACTCACTCTTTGTCCCCGGAAAAGGAAGATGAGAAAATAAATTCTCTGTTTGCTTCAGAAGCTATCTTTGAAGTTTGGATTCCACCAACACCCCTTCCAGCAGCAGCTCTCTGAACTTCATTAATTTCCCGCCGGAAAGCCACAGTTTTAAGATATGCTTGTATTTGTAGCTCAGAGAATTTTTCAGGGGCCTAAATGCTCACAAGACAAAATAACAACATCCATAGTTAATGTGCCAAGTGTTTACTCCTTCAGAAGCACTAAAATGCATAATGGATCAATCATGAGAGATGTAGTGTGTTTATTAACACATGCTAATGCCCCTTCAAAAGCATCATAATATCTCGCCTCACCTTCTTGACCTTCTGATACTTCTGTCGGTTTTCTGCCATCAATCTTTCCCTCATCTACAACAGAGGACATCAGTAACTAACTAGACATTCCAATGGAACTGAATAGGGACTGCTGCGAACTTATGATGTCTATAGTTACCTGAACAAGGAGGTCAAGTTGCATGGATGGAGGAAGAGAAGCCAAGACAGCTGGATCAATATTCCTGTCCATTGCTGGCTATAAAAGGACAAAAAACAGACGTAATTATTGCATTCCATGGGGAGATAAAGATGGTAAAGGTCTAAATGACTCCTAAAGGAAAATATGGTAGTTATGAAGATGCTACTGTTATTTTTTGATAAAGCGGCGAAGTTATGATCCAGATGAAAGGAAATTTTCCTTTTTCAAGTATTTCATAAAGAAGTGATCTATTTACTTGAAGATGCTAACTCTTCATTTGTTGACAAAAATTTCAAAACTTTACTAACATACTTTACATGACAGAAGCAACAAACTTGATATGGTAATCCCTTGAATAATACACCTGATTTGTTACTAAAGTATTGCCAAAGAAACCAGGGATTACATGAGCATTACAAAAATTGCCAACTTACCAGTAACAGTTGTTCATCTTCATCACTGCCTTCTTCCTCAGAAGGGATTGCTGCAGCTGAGGTCGATGCATTACTAGTTAAATTTCCATCTTCTTCCGCTGCAAGGGATGCTGCCAGCCTATATTAAACCAAAACAGGAAAACACAAAATGACCACATGCATATGCCAAGATATTCAACCAATATCTCTATTACTGCTTACATTTCATCCAACTTTTCCTGATAATCCTTCATCAGTACTGCAGTATCCCTTTCAGGATTGCTCTTCATGTTTTTAACTAGATCATCTTCATCCAATAAAACACTCTTACCCTTGGAGTCATTCTTCTGTAAACCAGTCCACCAAAAAAAAAAGGATCAGCACAGAGTGCCAAAGCAAATGGAAAAGATGTAGCATTATAAAACAATAATTGCACAAAGAAGTGGCTATAAACCACCAATTTCACGACCAAGTGCTGGGTTATGTATAATTATTAGTTGTTGAATGCCACTCGACCTTTAGGGAGAGGTACGAAGTAACAAGACTGAACAAAAAATGTACTATGAATCATGGCATAACGTTAATCCAACACCAAATGTCATCCTAGCATCTGAAACACAATTTCTTTTTTCCTTTGCATCTCGGTGGATTGTATTCACTTACCGTTAACCCTTCCGTGACTATATCAACACCATCTTCTGCAACAACAGATGCTGTCGACCTACATTAACTCATCAAAGCCGTTCAAACAACACATCTATATCATTACAACAACAGAGTTGTAACTTACATTTCATTTCGATTTCCCTCAGCACCACTTGAGCTCGCATCACCTATCAATGCAGAAGATCCCGGTTTACTTTGCAACATTTCAGAGGCTACGCGTTTTTTCTCTTTAGCATTACTCTTCTGCTGCTGCCATCTCTGGTTCTCAAGATTCTTGGCTTGCTCCTTAAGATTCATGTCCCTAAGCTATATTACCACAAACCCCAATACCCAAAACGTTTAACTCAAGACCCAGATCAAATTCTTCCCATTTCATGTCCTCGAACTACAATTTTAACCATCACCAGACAATGAACCACAGTTACTTACCCGATTGAGCAGCAATTTCTCGGCGGTCTTCCGAATCTTCGCCTGAGCATTCTCTCTCTGACGACGGCGAGCGACGACGGTGCGGCGTTTCAACGCCGGAGTTCCTCCGTCGAAGACAAACACCGGTTTCGTCCGAAGGTACAATAATTTGCAAATTCGCCGGAAAAAACCAATCAAGTGCGCATTCCGCACCATCTCCCCCTTCTCGTCACGCATCGCCTTCATGAACTGTATCATCCATATACTCGCATCTGCGATCGAGGAAACGAAATACAGCGTGATTGGATTCCAGAAAGCAACAAAAAGGTAGGTAACTCAAACATCACTCATCCAAGGTTAGGGTTCGCCGGAGACTGTACCTATGGCGAGTCGTTTCCCGGCGAGGGTTTCAACGGAGACACGACGACCCACCGGAGCCAAGAGCTCCCACAGTCCTTGCACTCCCATTTTTTTTCCTTCTCTCTTTCTTTTTCTTTTTCCCGACCAGAGACTTTCCGTCTGATGCTGCTTCGGGAATATTACTCAAATAACCCACTTGGGTCGCAGCAATTTCAGTGTACACCACCGAAAAAAAAAAAAAAATTTGCGACCTTATTACGACTAATATATAACTAATATACAACCTATTACGACTAATAAACTACTCTTATTTTAGTTGTATATTAGTTATATATTAGTCGTAATAAGGTCGCAAATTTT